TAAATCATCGTTTTATTCACACGTGAATCAAGTACAGCTCCGCTACTTTTAGAACATATGTAACTGCTACTATATATAGTATATATGAATGGCTTACTACGAAAAAATGCAAAAACTTCTTCGTCGCCTAAAGATATACAAAATTATCTCAATGTAATTTCTTAATAAAATAATAAGCTAAATATCTCAGTATTATTGACGTATCATCTCTTTTTATCTTTTTAATTAATTAATGTTATAAAAAATAAAAAGAGTACCTTCTGTATCTTGGCTGCTCATTTCTAAAAAAGAATCTTAATGTTTATTATTGGGTCAAAAACATATTAAATTGAAACATATTAACATGGTAATTATAAAACAAGTTTAAATTTTTAAATGAAGATTACAATAAGTAAACTTGTAGATACAACTTACTTGTCGTCCCTCGCTTTGCAATTGTAATAATCGATATGAAGACCACATGGCCGAGTTTTATTGGTTTTAGAGTACAGTTGGCGCACATATCATGATACAAAAATCAGATGGTTTTGAATCTATTAATTAAGCTGTTTTTATTAACGGATTTAGTTGATTTAATTAGATAACCGCAAGGTAGTTTTACAGTGGTTTAAGAGTTCGCGTACGTTTCGTAATACAAAAATCATTTAATATTTGTTTATATCTTAGTATTCGAGCATTTCTATTAGCGAATTAGGCGAAATTTTGTGGATTTTTTGTTTGTCACCTTCTGGAGTAACTAAATTATTTTTTTAGGTTTCAGAATACAATTTTTTTATTCATACCTTTTTTTTTTCATACCTTTACTTTTTAGGACTCTTGACCAGTTAGTTTTAATAAAAAATTAAGTTTACATGTAAAACCTTTTTTTTTTTATAAATAAGAAAGAAAGTTATTTCATTAATGTATGTTGAACTCGCAAACTTAACTAATTACCTAAAACATAAGAATCTCTATCATAATATATGCGCAACAAATTTCCAACAGCGTTCTTATGTTTTTACAAATATTAAAAAACGTTTTAAGAAATTCTCTAAGTTTAATTTGTTATACTATATTATATCTTTATTTTTATGTAATGCGTATAACATCTATATGCATTTAAACTTGTTTTTCTTTGTTTTCCAGAAAACTGGAAAAGATTTAAAAAAAAAATTGTGTAAGCAAAAGGTTTTGAACCCAAGCGAAGCACTTCAATTGCTTTGGATTGCTATATCATCTTTTTACACTATTTAATAAACAGAAAACTTATTAAACTTTAAAAAACAACATTTAATGCTTTAAAATAAAGAGATATTGTCGCAATGAAATTTTAAAGTAAAAGTAAATCGGTAGAATTTGATGTCATCTACTTTATAATAATACTGATTGATAATTAAAGAACTTAAAGTTTACATATTTAGATATTTGAATAGACTTTCGTTCACATTAATAAAATACAAATCATTACGGATTGTGGTTCTGAAAAAAACGGTTAATACACTACCATCTATAATTATTGGAAAGGTCATTTTTAATATCAAAGATATCAAAGTTTGGCGAAAAAGTGAAAACAATGTCTACCTGAACTATATGTTATTTTCCTATTTGTTAGGTTTACAAATAAAACTTCCCTGATTAGTTTATAATTTATTCAAAACCCTGATTAGCTTTTAATTTATTTGCCTAATAATTACCCTTAACAACAATAACCGCTATTAATATATTCTTAGCATTCTACTTAACGACTTATCTAATTAGTCTATTTTGTCACTAATTCTTTTCAAAAAAAAAATATGCATGTGTTAACTATATATCAATTTATTTATCTATTTAATTTAATATATATAATATATAATTTAATATATATAATTTAATCTAATTAATATAACTGAAACACTACTAATCAATTTACTGATATTTTTTCTATAGCATCGTTAAAAATGGTCATATTCTGAAAGGTAAAGAAATTTATTGAAAAGAAAGTTGCACAAAAGAAATAAAAAAACTAAATAAAAGTTGTTCGTTTCAAAAAACGTTTTACGAAGAGTTTATCCAAACAATTTTGTTTTCAACTGCGTTTTTTTTGAATTACGTCTTAAGCATATTAAGGCGTTTTGAAAAACAGTTGGGGCATATATTTATAGTAAAAAAGTTAATGTAGCAAAATAAACTTTTAATTGTCAAAAGAAAGTTTTAAAGTTTTATCTAGCAACAGGCTTTATTTTTGCCTCCACAGCAGCATCTCCTGAAATACCAGGGCTGTCTTTTTAAGTTTTTTCTTTATTAAGTTTCAGACAACTTTTTTTTCAGACCAGCCGCAGCTTATTAGGACTAATTACATGAGCACATTAATAACATAAGTGTCTCAATTATCATAGATACGCAACATATTTTTTCTCCTAGTGATGTTTTTTTTTTTTTTTTAAATGTTTTTTGAAGTTTTAGCTTTCTTAAAATCTTTTCTTTTGTGAGTGCATAACATCGTTACGTTACATATGTTTGTATATAATCTTTATTAAACTTCGAAAGTATTTTGTATTTTAAAATAATTAAAAAAATTAAAAAAAATAGTTGCCTTTGGTAGGAGTCGAACCTCTAGTTTCTTGTTCAGAAGTTCGCCGCATTATCCACTCGAGCTACACCGGCATATCATCAGGTGTAGATTTTATAATAATGTAGCATTTTTTTTGAGAAAAAAAATGTTAGATCAAAATTAAGGAGAGATTGACGCAATGTAATTTTCAAGTAAAAATCAAACTGTAAAACATAATAAATGTTTCAGTATGTTTTAACATATGCTTTAACATTACTTAGTTTAAAGTTTACGTACGTTAGATATTCGTTCACGTATTCTTATAGTGCTGGGACTCTTTCTTGCCAATACCTCGGTTGCAATGGCTGCCAAGGGTTTCGTGTCAAATACGCTCCAAGGGACACTACTACTGCTATTAAGTTCGGCAATATTATATAGAAGATTGTGGAAGGTACTCCATTTAATTTCTCCCCCACATACAATTATAGGATCTTTAAATCCATTAAAGTTAAAATCTGGAAATAAAAATCTTTTGCAATTTAACAAATTACTTCTGATGCTTTTAATTAAGATGTACAACATCAAAACAGAAGTAAACTTTTTTAGATTGTAAATAAAAAACAAATCTTCAGCTTGTTGATTCGATGCACAAAGGATTTTTTTAAAACAAGAAACATTAGCAGAATGGTTGTCACACACAATAACTCTAACATTAAATTCACATTCAGTTAAAATACGAAGACATTCAAAAATTTCTTCTTTCAACCATTCAGCATTGATTGTTATTTCAGGAGACGTTTTGATCACATATGGAATGTTTTGTTTCAGGCCAACTATCATAAAACAAACTATTCCCTTATACATTTCTCCAGACTCATCACTACCAATCATCTCTCCAGCAAAATACTCCTCACATTTTTGCAAGTACATTTCATCAAAAATCAAGCAAATGTCTTGAGATATCTTACCTTCTAATTTTAAACGTTTTGCTCAACTTAGAGCATCAATATTTCCACTAGTTATTTTTTTAAGTAATAATAATGATGGTAAAGGCAATTCTTCACGCAAAAGTTGGTATGACTGCATAGAAGTATATCGTAATATCAGTGAATACCGTATATTATTGGCTGAATAAATAAGTTTTTTCATATATTTAATTTGCTGTAATTCAGTCAATACAGATGAAAATTGTTCAGCTTGTGATTTAATGTAGGTAGGAAAATTATGAAGCATACTTTTACAAGATAACCGACAATCTCTTCCTTGACAAAACCACTAAGGTAATGGCAGAGGTGAACCTCTGTAAAATAATTTAACATGCATCTCATTGTTTACACGAATGCACTCTGTAACCTCTGGAATAGATAAAATACTATGACTCAATTTATAAAAAATTACATGATCATCATACTTCAAGAATGAAAAACCATCTGGAGCAAAACTTTCAGTAATATCGTTAAAGCTATTAATCAAATAATTCAATAAAAACTGTTCATATTGATCTGGCTGAAATATTCTTTTAGTTGGTGATTTTCTTAATGAATTAGAAGATTTTATAAGTTGTAATGAACCTTCTTCAGTAAATAAAGTAGGCCATGTATATATATATATATATATATATATATATATATATATATATATTTATATATATATATATATATATATATATATATATATATATATATATATATATATATATATATATATATATATATATATATATATATATATATATATATATATATATATATATATATATATATATATATATATATATATATATATATATATATATATATATATATATATATATATATATATATATATATATATATATATATATATATATATATATATATATATATATATATATATATATATATATATATATATATATATATATATATATATATATATATATATATATATATATATATATATATATATATATATATATATATATATATATATATATATATATATATATATATATATATATATATATATATGTAGCAGCACTCCATTGCGAGTCAGGCTATAAGATAGTCGATGTAGCAACATTTACGCATGTTTCAAAAATGTTTTTTAATAAAACAAAAACAAAAACACTACTAATTAAAAAAAACTTTCTAGTCGTTATTATTGCGGTCTTTTAAAAAAACAATAAAATTTAATGAGCTTGGTACCAAACGAGCCTCGGTAAATTAGCAAAAAAATGTGCTTTTTATTGGTTTGTAAATAGAGTTAAAAATAATAAATTTTATTTAATATGTTAATAAAAACAAAACAAAACAAAACAAAGTTGTTATTACAAAGAAGAGTTTTAATTTAATTTCTTAAATTTATACCTATATTGTCTGGTTTTTATTAAATTAATTAGAACTGGTTCTAATAAAAAGTGCGACTAGTGCAGTACCAGTTTCGCAAGCATTATTGGTATTGTGATAAAAAAAAAGAATGGGAAGTATCTGCAGAAAATAAATAACTGTGAATGATAATGAATTTTTTTATGCTTAATTAAAAACATCTAATCTAAAAGTTAGTCAATAAGAAAGCAATTTTTCCATAAATTTTAAAGATAAAAAATACAATATTAAGGATTTGGGTCGAAGGTTTAGAAAAATAAAATTATGTGAAAATAAACCAAAAAAGACTTTCTTTATAACTTTAATTATCAAGCTGTTATTAAATTCTATAACAATAAACACTTAAAAAATTGAACCAAAGAAAAACAAGAATAGATAACCGTATTTAAAATATTAGGAAAAACACAAAATAATTTTTTAATGAATTAATCAAACATTTAAATTAGTTTTTATATATTTTTTCTTATTTAAATTCTCTTTATTTGCTGTAAACAATTTAACATAATGATTTCACTTCCATTTATTAATTATGTGCATCATCATAAGCTTTTAAAGTATCAAAACATGTTTTAGCTTGCGTATTATTTGCCCGTGTTATACTTTGATACCAATTGACGAATTGTGATTCGCTTTTGCCTTCTACAAGAAATTTACCATAAAGATTATATGCTTTACTAAATCCAATATTAGTTAGACGTTCGCCATATATTGGGCCGACACTCGGTATGTCAGTAATAGGTCTGTCTCCCATTGGTTGATTAACAAAGTTTTGACGTAGTTGAGATGTTGAAGACATTTTTTTTTTTTACTTAGAAAAAACTAAACAAGCATAAAAACAAATTTTTTTATAAATAATAGAAAATAAATAAATTAAAGGGATGGTTTTGGCAAAGCATGAAGGTTAGGAAAAGAGTTAGGGTTACAGCAAGTTTTATATTTAGTTATGTTGTTAAAATTATTTGTTTTTGAAAATATATGAATTTGAAAATAAAATATAATATAAAAAGAAGTAAAAAAAAAAATTAAAAAGTAAAAAAAAAAACGTAATTTAGACGTCTTATAAAAGTCTGAACGTCAGGGAGACAAACGTTCTCCGGATGACGCGTGCCCACTGGGTAGAACGTAATAAATATATATATATATATATATATATATATATATATATATATATCTTTTTTTTTTTTTTTTTTTTTTTTATTAAATATATATTTGCTGTTTATATAATAAGAAATATAATTACAAAGAAACGTTTACATACAAAAAAAAGTGAATTTATAACAAACAGGCAGGGGCTCAAAGAAGATAACGATGACTAAAGTCACCACAATCTTTTTATAGAGCCCCTAGGTGGGCTTTACAAGTTAAAAAAATAGTATCCCTAATATTATAAAAAGGTTAAAGCTTGCATAAATATTTCCATTAAATCAAGAAAGTAAATAACATCATATAGTTTTATCAATATTCATTAAAACATATTGGCAACTCTGTTAAGTATCAAAATAAGAGCCAATTAACAAATAAAAAAACTAAGAAACTCGTTTTTCATTTCGAAAAATCAAGAAAACTAATTATCTAACTTGAAAATTTCATTTTTTAATAAAAACTTAAACAAATTTAATGATTTTACAGAGTTTAAATTTTTTTTTTTTTGAAAAGTGTTCTATAGTTTTGGTCCACGGTATAGTTTTCCATATTCAGAATACTTACTATTAATTCTTGGTAATATATAAGTATTCCATTGGTTTGATCTAAGAGAATACTTTTCGTTTACATTTATTGAATATTTACCATTAAAGTTTTTTTGAATAAGGCTGTTGTTACATTTATACAAAAAAATCAGGTGTTGGTAAATGTTGATTTCATATATATTCATCATTTTCATTTCTTCAATTATATATCCATATATATTCATATGTATCCATCATTTTCGTGTCTTCTATATCTATCAATCAACCTAAATATGTTTATATCTATATATATATATATATATATATATATTTTTATATATATATATATTTTTATATATATATATATTTTATATATATATATATATAATATATATATATTTATATATATATATATATATATATATATATATATATATATATATATATATATATATATATATATATATATATATATATATATATATATATATGTATTTATATATATATATATATATATATATATATATATATATATATATATATATATATATATATATATATATATATATATATATATATATATATATATATAT